TGAGAACCTTCTGCAGGTTCAAGATAAGCCAAAAAAAGATCCCCTCAGTCCTCCATAAGAAACCCATCAGCCTCTGCTTGTAAACGTAAAATAGCAGTTAGAATATAATAGTAGATTACAAGTAAATCTCATGTCATCCATCATAGTTCTTTGAAGTCAATTTCTTGCATACCAGAACAGGGAGTGACTCAGAGCAGATGTCAGACTTGAGCAGTATTCATCATCGATACGCGTCACTGGGTGGATTAATAATTTACTAATATTTTTATGGATTACAATGTGGTGCAAGGTCTGTGGAAATAAGGCACTACATATAAAGTAGTATGCTCCCTTACTGTCATGTCAGCTATGGTAGTGTAGCGCTCACCCCCTAAGGAGCCGCTGAATAACCGGATATTTCTATCCCCCACAACACTTGAAAGAGCCCTATTTAGACACCATGCCAGCAGTGGTAGATTCTGCGCCTCTCTCCTAACAGGTCAGCTACAAAGAAAACACAAATGGTGCTGTTACTTTAAACTAAAGGGTCAAGGGGTGAAAATGGGCTGTGTTTGACAATTGGGATGTAATGGGGTTCTATTGGGTATGGAGAAATGCATATTTTGGAAATTGTATAAAAGAAAAGTGTCTGTAAGAGGTCAAATCTGTGCTGCACATATGAATCAATCAGACTTTTCTTTTTATTTCTCTTTTTTTATGTGTAATCTATCTTTGTATCTCATCCAGCTGTGCTGATTTATGTAATTTTGTCAATATATGCCCTTTTAAAGGAGAACTATGGTGTAAGTGTTTTTCCCCATAGTTCTCCTTAGGGTAACGGGAGGACACAAACTAGCGTCCTCCCGTCACCCTAGGCTCAGTATACTGAGACGCCGGAGCGGATCTCGACATGGACGTCGAGATCCGCCCAGCTGCGTGACTGACAGCTGGCTCTGCCTATCTAGAGGCAGAGCCAGCTGTACCCGCCCCCTCCCCCGTCCGTTCAGCCAGTCAGCGCTGGAGGATCGGAGAGGGGAATCCAGCCCCTCCCCCTGTCACGGCAGAGAGCCGTGAGAGGATCGAGAGGTGAGCGAACCCGGTATGTGTTCGCTCACCTCCCGATCTACTGAGCCGACCTGTGACAGTCTCATTGTCACAGGTCGGCTAGAACTATGAGGTGAGTGGAAATCACTCATCTCATAGTTCTCCTTTAATGATACTCCCGTATAAGCATCTTAAGTCTTTAGTCCCTGTACAGCAGGGACTGGTAAAAAAGGGATGACTTTGACACAGATGGCCAGCTTGAACATACAGTATATTGGACAATATGCAAATCAAGAACATCTGTTTTTATGCAATACTGGGCTTTAAAGTGGCATTAAAGTCAAATGGCTTTTAAAGAAGAACCCCAGGTGGTAAAAAACGTAACCCTTGAAGTGGCGTTACCTCCCGTACTGCGAGGGTTAACTGCTCGTTTTTTGTCTAGAGGTGAAACTAAACTATATTTACCCGATTCTCGGTCCCGCCTGGCTGCTGGACCAGTCCCCGCGGCCTCTTCTCCCCCAGGCTCCAGCGCTCTAACCCCCGATGATGTCATCATGCCTAATATAGTCCATTCATCTATATTAGACGTGAGGAACATACCACATCTGGAGTAGAGGGGGGAGAGAAAGCGTGAACTGTCACTGCCGCAGGACCTTGAATCAGTTGGTATTTCTTCTCTATATGAGCCACTAGAGGAAAACAAGAAAGTTAACCCTTTGCAGTACGGGAGGAGCCCCACTGCAGGGGTTACCTTTTACTTAAAAAAAAAAACCTTTAATCTGTTTAAAATGTTGATTGAATCACTTGCAATGGATACTGATACTTGCTGTTTAAAAGTTTTAGTTTCCTGCAGAATCAGCTGGTCTCGTGAGCACTGGTCCTGATTTCCTGTTTTTAGGGTGGCTCCTTTCCCTTGCAGAGTCCTATAGAGCCACCCTTGTGTTTGCTAGTAAGCTGTGTGTGTCTACACACACACACACACACACACACACACACAGCAAGGCACAGCCACTTCACTGCTCCCCGCACCTCACTACTCCTTTCTCCCTTCTCCAAGCTAGTAGATGGACAACTACTGGAATCTTATCTCTCCCTTGTGATCTTGTACTGGACAGGAAGTTCAGAGAAGCTGAGCTGAGAGAGTTGGAGTCAGCTGTTTGGAAACATAACTGTTTGCTTGGGCAAACATGTAAAGAAATACTTTGCTGTTCTATGTATATTTCTTTGATCCGGATTTATTACTGAAAAAAAGTTTGAGAGTTTAGTACTAATGTATTGTGAGGGGTGTATAGCCGTTTGCAGAAGGTTCATTGAGAATATTAGGTCTGATATTGTGTTTACATCCCTCCTGCACCTCATATATTATTACATATCAATGGCTGATCATGGACATTTTTCTCAGTTCCTTGATTTTTTGCTTGTCCTGGAGAAGGACAGTTGTACCTTGATGAGTCCCTGTGACATTTTCCTTTCTGACGCGTGTGGCATTGAGCCATGTGAAAACCAGAAGAGTTGACCTCTGGCACCTGGAGATAACAGACAGCAGCTGTGTGTTTGCACAGTTCTCTTCCTATGAAATGCAGTACAATAGGCTCTCATGTCCCCAATGTTTACTGTACTATGTAATAGGCGTGTGATTTGCAAAGCTGCCTATGGAACGAACTCTATGGCATCGGGATTTTACATGACAGGGTAAGGCACAGCCGTCCTATGACCCAACCACCCACTGCTGACTACAACCCTTAGTCAGATTTCAGTTGCAATACATTTTTTGTATTTTATGCCCCCTGCTTCTGGGCATTGGAGGCACAGCAGCAGGAGGAAAAAGAGGACTTGCTGTTGTCCTAGGACAGGGGTCAGCAACCTTAAACACTCAAAGAGCCATTTGGACCCGTTTCCCACAGAAAAAAAAACACCAGGAGCCACAAAACTCTTTTGACATCTAAAATGAAGATAACACGGCATATATCGTTTTTTTACCTTAATGCTATGTATGGCACTGGACTCTGGACTTACCTGAGACCATGCAGAGCACACCATAGATCCTGCACAGCCCATCTGAGACTCTCTATGGTGGGCTTTGCAGGGCCTCAGGTGGGCTTGTGGCCGGGGTCCCTTTCCCTGTACCTCCTCCCAACTCTTCTTACCTGCTGGTGCTGGGGCCTGGCCTCCTCCACCCCCTCCCAATCACCTCTGCCATGCCGCCCCTGGTACAGCTGATACTTATGTAATTGGCCCCCCAGGCTGCCCAGGCGCCTCATGTGGGTACCGGCCATACCCCCCTGATGATGGTGTTCTATCAAAGTTTGTGAAAAAGTAGGCATCGCTCCAAACTTGCTCCCATGATAGACTACGATCTCCATACAAATTAGCAGTGGCATCACTAGGGGGGTACGTACCACACCCGGGTGACACCAAAATGACTGACAGTCATTTTGGTGTTACCCCCTCTGAAAAGTCGGGCACTCGGTCAGTTGCACGAGAGAGGAGGGGACCCAGCGACACACCTTATCCTGCCGGGTGAACGTCCCCTCCTCTCTCTCTGCCAGCGTCCATCACCAAGATGGCCACATATGCGCGTGACGTCACAGTGGGGTGTCACCTGGTAACCGCTCTGGATGACACCCGGCCTGGAGACGCCCCTGCAAATTAGTACACTAAACATGAGATTGTAGTCTATCACAGGAGGGAGCATGGAGTGGTGGCTACTTTACTTTAAAGGCTATTTTATGCTAGTTTTTCAAAGTAACAAATGCAATTATAGAGCAAAACGATGAAGGGTTTCGTATGGTAGTAAGCCTTTTGGTAGTTAATTTTTATGGAGAGCTATACATCAGCGCAAAAATAGGGACAATGAGGAGAAACAACTGACAGAGGGATCTGATTACAGAATAGGGACAGTTGGGAGCTATGGGTCATCTGTATTTAAAGGCTTTGTTGCTAAACCTAACATTTGCAGCGCGTCATTACACCCTGCCCGGTTTCCTTATTGGCCGGGAAGCCGGCTCCAGCATGGAGAGAGCATGGAGCCGGCTTCCCAGGCCAATCAGGAAGCTGGGCAGCGTGTAATGATGCGCTGTCCGGCTTCCTGATTGGTCGGAAGCTGGCCAATCAGGAAGCCAGGCGGCTTGTTAAGACTCGCCACCCGGCTTCCCAATTAGCCGGCTTTCTGGCCAATCAGGAAGCCGGGCGCTGTGTAATTACACGGCGCCCAGCTTTCTAATTGGTCGGGAAGCCGGCTTCATGCTCATTCGTCACCTCATGACGGAGCATGGAGCCGGTTTCCCTGCCAATCAGGAATCCGGGCGCCGCGTCATTACACAGCGCCCGGCTTCCTGATTGGCCAGAAAGCCGGCTAATTGGGAAGCCGGGTGGCGAGTCTTAACAAGCCGCCTCGCTTCCTGAATGGGACTTCCGGTATTCGGTATCGGCGAGTACCAAAAACAAAAAACTCCACCTGGTGGCAATTGCCATGCCCAGTCAATGCTGTTCTGTCAGATGTGGTCTATCTCAGCACCTGAGGGCAGGAAACTGGGGGATTGTGGGAGCCCACTGTATCTTGGAAACAGAAATGAAAGGGAGCTGTCTTGACTGTTGGACAAGGTGGGTAAGAAGGGACAGAGAACTGTGTGGATTTTCAGTCCTCTGAGGTGACAGGTCTCTAAATATAGGCTTACATATAGGTGTGGCTGGGCAAATACAGGAGGGGTTTGGATACATTGGAACCAGTTTCAATATCCGGATATGTAAAATTAGTGTACATGGTAACACAGTACAAATTGCAAAGCCAAACTGGTGAAATGTAATACAGAAACATTATTTGTTAGATATGTGCAGTGCTATGCCACGCAATAGGTTCACATAAATGTCGCTCTCAGAAATGCTGGTCTTATGGGACACCAGATTGCCAGACTGATAAATATCCAGGTGGTAAAATATATGCATACTAAAGCATTGTGAATTCTATTCCTTTCCAGATACAGAAGAAACATGCCATGAATTTACAGACCTCGGGTTACACAACTCTGTTGTTGGTACAGAACTGAAGGTCCAGTTGCTAATTTACACCAGGGAAAATGCAAACTGTGCCGGGGATCTGAACCTGGAGAACACAACTGCTTTTAAGTATCTGGATGTAACAAGAAAAACAATATTCATCACCCATGGCTATCGGCCTACTGGATCTCCTCCTGTGTGGCTTGATGAAATTGTACAAAAATTGCTTGCTATTGGTGACTTCAATGTCATCTTAGTGGACTGGAACCGAGGAGCCACGACTGTGATATATCACAATGCTGCTGCAAAATGCAGGAAAGTGGCCGACGTACTGAAGAACTTTATTGACAAGATGTTGGTAAGAACAAAGACTATGCCACTGCAATTGGTAGCAGAGTTGCAGGGGGGCTCTGCTCATGGCTGTGTTTGATTTAACCAGGCAGTAGTAGTAGCTTTTGAAATTACTTTATGATTAATGAAAATGTATGAAAATGTATGCAGTTCAGGCGTCTGTCAGATTGCTCTGAATTGGGTTAATATGATGCGGTGTCAGCCAAGGACCTTCAGTTCATTGACATCTATACAATTGAAACAAATTATATAAAATGTATGAGGGAAAATCACTCACCCTCATAGTTCGAGCCGACGTGTGACAATGAAACTGTCACACGTCGTCAATAGATCGGGAAGTGAGCGAACACATACCATTGCTCGCTCACTTCTCGATCATCTCCCTGCAGAGAGCTGTGACTGTCAGTCACCACTAAGGATGGGCTGCATGTTCGAGTCGACTATAGGTTCGGCTCGAACATTGCATGTTCTAGCGTTCGCCGAACGCCGAACATTATGGGATGTCAGCGGTCTGTTCGACTGCGGCACATCCCACAATGCACTGCGCCGTCCGAAAACGGTAATTGGCCACAGTCCTGCACGTGACCGCAGGTACTCCCTGCAAGGATTCCTCCCCTCTCCAATCCTTCAGCGCTGACTGGAGGAACAGACGGGGAGGGGGCAGGTACAGCTGGCTCTGCCTCTAGATAGGCAGAGCCAGCTGTCACTCATGCAGCTGGGTGGATCTCAACAGTAATGTCAGGATCCGTCCCGGGTGCGGCGGTCTCAGTATACTAAGAGCTGTAGCTCGCGATATACTGAGCTTTGGGTCACAGGAGGACGCTAGTATATGTCCTCCGGGACCCTTAAGAGAACTATGGGGAAAAACACTTACCCCATAGTTTTCTTTTAAACACACAACACAGTACATACGGTAGTGGTAAAGTTTACTCAGATGACCCCAAATACAAAGGTGAAAAGAGATGATGAAATAGAAAAGTACGGGCTGCGATATGATATGACTAATGCTTCAAAGCTGTGTAAACAATAAAATATGATCTAATTACCAAAAATTACAGTCTCGGCAGACATATATTGTCACAAAAATAATCTGTGTACACCCTCCTGATGAAGGATACATAAAGTTTTTGAGATTCTGAAAATTGTACAAAATATAATCTACATACTGTATGTCAAATATATCAAATCTCTGCTATATTCCATATGTCCTATGAAAAATAAGGTGGACACTAGATTTTAGGGATGTCCCGATACTGATACTTGTATTGGGGCCGATACAGAACATTTTCACAAGTACTTGCTGCTTTAATTTTTAGATCGCTTCAGGCTGCCCAAAGGTAGCGTGCTTGTTGGGTTCCCCTGGGCAGCCTGCCGGGCAGCTAAACGAGGACCTCACAGATGCTCCTCCACAATCTGTAAGAGACACCAGGCAAAAAGAGTGACAGGGGGCGACACTGCCGCACATCGTTTACTACCTAAGAGCCACAAGAGTGACGGGCGGCGACACTCCCGCACAGCACTGCGCTCCTGTGAGTTGCCTGTGAGTAAAACCGCGGCCGTATGGCTGTGTTACATGGTGAGGGAAACTGTTTCAGGGCTGGCTGAAAACAGTTTTAATTCTTTCTCTTTCGCTCTCTCTTTCTCTCCCTCTTTCCGCATGTGAGCCTACACCATCTGACAGCATTTTTAGACTGGACAGATTATTGACTGGTGACGTCACATCAGGTGACCTGCCAGTAGCGTATTTAGACCAGATGGCACTAGTCCCGTGCGCCAGCGTATAGAATCCTCATCGGGTTATCGAGCTCCCGTCACTGCGCCTGCGCGGCTTCACGATCCCCATCAAGTTCTCTGACCCGTCAATGCACATGCCAGGGCCGGCCTTAGGCCTTTAGGCGCCTGTGCGAGAAAGGTTTACAGCGCCCCTCAGTGACCACACCCCCCAGTGGCCACACCCTTTAGTGGCCACACCCCCAATGACCACACCCATTTCCCCCAATATCCGCACCATTTAAAGACTCCAATGTTGTTAAGCCGCAAAGAAACATATTAAAAAGTATGATAAAAATAAAACCTTTTAGATGGTAGAGATGTCCAGTTCATGAACGAATCGTTCTTTTAAATCGATTCTATTCAGTGAACTGGTGGAGTCTATTCAGCTGAGTGAGCTGATCCGTTTGAAGCAGCTCAGTGTGATGAGCCAGTGTGTGACGTATAGCAGAGACTCTAGCAGGTCTTGTAACATGATCCTAGAGTGAAAGCCAGGCTCCTGCCAGGCTCCTGCCAGCTCCTCCCAGCCCACCCCTGCAACCAATCACATCTCTGAGTCACAGTACACGGATTCTGAGAATCGAATGAGTCTACTAGTTAAAAGAATCAAATTATTCTACTTAGTAGACTCATTCGATTCTTTGAGTTAAAGAATCCTTAGTCATCAGAGGAGTTAAAAGAGTTGTGAGTCGTCACCAGCAGAACAATACACTGACTCAATGAGCAGGTTGCAGCAGTGATAAGGGACAGAAAGCCTGGGGCAGTCAGCAGGGAGATTTACACATTTACAAAAAAATAAAAACATTTTTTTTTTTTAAATAAACAATTTTTGTTTTTAGTTTTTTTAATTTATTTTAACATTTTTTAACTTACATTTATTTATAGCGTTAGTATCAATGTCCCCCAGGAGCTGTCTGACACCCTTCTCTGAATCAGAGTCCTCTATGAAGGTTCAGACAGCACCTGAGCTTCGGTTCACTTGCTTGTCAGCCGACTCAGCAAGTGAATCGAAGATTCGGTTCATGAATCGGTTCTTTTGAATGAACTGATTCAAATTAACCGATTCATTTAAAAGATCCGTACTTCCCATCTCTACATGATGGGGATCGCGAAGCCGCGTAGGCGCAGTGATGGGAGTTCGATAACCTGATGAGGATTCTGGAGGCGACGCGGCTGGCACACGCACATCAGTGTCATCTGGTCTAAATCTCCTACTGGCAAGTCACTGGACGTGACGTCACCAGTCGGAGATCTCAACGGGTCGGAGCTTTCGACAGAACATTGGCAGGACTCCTGTGCATAGAGACATGTGCAGTAGGATCTGTGCCCGCAGTGATTTATAGGAAATGTAGTTCGGGAGAGCAGCACGCTCTCACAGAAAGCTTGTGAACTGATGGAGAAGAGTGGCTGGTAGTGAAGGAAGCACAGAGGAGCAGCGGGCATGCGCCCAGCTGTTTTTAAATGAAATAGAAGAGATTTCAATGTAAAATTAGAAATTAATGCAGGATAAGGGATATAAGGAGACAACAGCAAAGTGAAAAAAAGTTTAGTGTCACTTTTAAGTTTCCCCTTTTACACGGAGCACAAGTGTTCTGGGCAATGTGTCCTCACTAATACATAGCTGTAAACTCAGGAGACAATGGGTTTTCTGGGTCCTGTCCTTTTGGTGTTTTAGGTGAATTTCATAAGTCTCGGTATGCTCAGCATCTCCTCAACACTCCCCAAATTAGTCAGCAGAGAAAGAGAAAGCAATGACAGAAGGAAGGAGGAAATAGGTAGAGCAAGGGGGGAGGGAGCCCGGGATTTCCAGTCTCCCTCAGCATATTCCTTGTGAGTAGTCATTAGGGCGGTGTTGGCGCGACAGAGGTGCTGGGTGAAAAGGGGATTGCAATGACAGAGATGATGGGTGACACTAGGTTTGCAGTAAAAAAAGGTGCTGGGTGACATGGGGTGCAGTGACAGAGGTGATGGGTGACACTGGGATTCCTGGGCCGGAGTGACGTCACATTCTGGCTCCCGACAACTCTACAGGGCGTGCAGGGGAGTTGCACAATCAATGCACAAATAGATGGAGCTCCATCACAGCATAGCAGGTCACACTGGACCCCAAGCTGAGGATCCACTCCAGTTCTCATTAGGTTTGGAGACTGGGTGGATCTGTCAGTGTTTTTGAGGGCCTGTTCACACTAGTACAGTGCCGTACGAATAATGCACTGCAGGGGCGTCCCGAGGCAGGGTGTCACCCGGTCTCCAGACCAGGTGACACCCCACCGTGACATCACCTTGCACGTGATGTCACATCGCCCATGCGCAGCAATCTGATTGACGCCTGCCGGCGGCCATCTTAGTGGGTCTTGTCAGTCGTTTTGATGTCACCCCTGCAATGGTGTCACCCGCATGCGGGCCGCACCCCCCTTGTGACACAACTGATGCACTGTAACACACAATCACACCTACTGCGCATTCTGGTGTGGAGGAGGTGCTGTGTTGCCATTTATTTGAATGGCACCCCAAAACCACCTCCCACCCACAGTTCGATCGGCCGCACCGGATTGTGCAGTTCTGCAATGCCATGCGTTCCATTGCAGTGTGACTTGGGTCGCGACTTAATGACCAAGGTCAAACGTAGGTCCTGAGGTTACGTAGGTTGAGAAACACTGCTTTAGACTACTTGAGTCACAGCGTGTCCCTTTTTTTTCTAAACATAAAGGATGTGGTAAACAAAGCGTCATATACAGTATCTATATGAGTAGTTTATTTCATAACCTCGGAAATGTCTCCACTTTCGATTTAAAACTCGTAAGCACTGTATAGTAGACGTGAGTCATTTTCTTCAAACTGGACTAGGAAGGAATGTGTTATGAGTCACAAACAGGTTATCTCAGTCCTGCCATATTTTTTCCAGCACAGGACATAGAAAAGACTTGTGTCAGCTTATACTTCAAACACCACAGAGAGCCAACATCAGCCATTTACAGAACTAAATCTAAATTCCTCCCAGAGAGAGCGCACAGGAATTAGAAATCTCCCCCTGGTTCTGTTTAGTCAAGATAAAAAAAAAACAACAACCCTATCTTGGAATAGACTCTGCATGTGCTGGTGACTGTATATAAGGCCTCTCTTTAAGAGCTGCTTTAGATAAGTATTGAGTCATAGAGCGCACATAATGTAAACACTGTTAAATACACATCACATGTCCGTATATTATACCAGAACCCACACTGCCAAGATTTACCTGAAAAGGTTGGCTTCACTGAACATCTAATATTATAATTACAGGTGTGTGTATGTCGGGGGGATATATTGCCACACAGTCTGGCAGTATTAGAAAGTATGGGGAAAAATGTCAACGGAAACTGCCATGGTATTTTTTCTTCTTAACCACTTGAAGACCGCGGTGTTACACCACCTTCCTGTCCCGGCCATTTTTCAGTATTCAGTGCTGCAGTACTTTGACTGACATTTATCCAGTCATGCAACACTTTACTGAAATGAATTGTATACCATTTTTTGGGGGACAGATAGAGCTTTCTTTTGGTGGTATTTAATCACCACTGGGGTTTTTATTTTTTACTATATAACAAAAAAGTACCCTAAATTTTGAAACAAACCTGTTTCCCTATGAAATTTTATGAAACATTTATTATTTACCTGACGGGGGTCTATTTACCAGACGGGGTCATGCCCGGTAAATAGACACCAAACATGTTAAGCTTTCAAATTGGCCACGAAATTGCAGAAAATGACCACACCCAAAATTTGCCATAGGCGACACGTTAAAAGCTTCATCAGTTTAGTGTTATCAGTGATTAATGGCCCTAGAATTATTGCTCTCATTCTGACTTCCGCGGCAATATGTAACATGTGCGGCACAATAGGCGGAATCGTCGTTTTCGCACGTTGGCATGTTTGTGTGTGTATGTGCGGGGGGGGACGTCAGAGGACTTTAAAAAAAAATTGCGTTATTCTACATTTTTTCTTATTTGTAATCTTCTTCTTTTATATTTTTTTATGCTTTAACTTTTTTTAAACTTTTTTTTTTTACACTTAACTTTATTGCTATCACATAGGGGGGCTAAGAAATTCCCTATGTGTTAGCCAATTCACATGACAGGTCCTCTTTATGGAGACTTCAGGGTTCTCCAAGATCCCTAATGTCACCTAGGGACCCCCAGAGAAGCTGATGAAGCAGAGATCTGCTTCATCAGCTTCTCTCCAGCATCTGTAACCGGAGAGTGACACTGAATGCATGTAAGAAGTGATGTAATACACATCACTTCCTGCATTCGGGGACAGCAGAGGAGATCAAAGGGAGGTCGTGTACTGAAGTCCCTTTTGATCCCCACTGAGCGCGTCACCGTGCCGGTCCCAGCCGCACCAGGCACAGTGGATCTCGGGACTGGCAGCGGCGGCGTCAGAGGTACGGGGGGCGCACACCCGCAGCCAGTTCAAGCTATGATCGCTTGAATGTAAATAGCCATCGCTGGCTGTTTACATAGCTGACAGTTTCCCCACTCGTGTGTGCGCTGGGTGCCGCGCACGAGCGGGGGGAGGGGCAGGGCATCTTAAGACGCCCTACCGCTCCTATAAGTCTCCCGTCCAGCCATTTACGAACGGCTATGGAAGGGAAGTGGTTAAAGGGGTTCACTTGTCAAAAGTACCATTGTGCAGTTCCGTTAGCATGGAAATCCTATACTCATCAGCCCCATCTCTGCACTGTTCCCGTTTTGAGAGAACATATGTTTGTGTTCTTTATTCCTACACCCCCGGGGTCGGGATGCTGCCACTGACCCTGGAGCAGGAGGTGCCCCCTGCTCGGGAAAAACCATGGTGGAGCCATCGCCATCCATTGCAACAGCAGAAACCAAGGCCTCCGTGGCCAATATGGGAGAATTAGGATCACCCGACCTCTGTCTTGCTGAATCTTCAGGAGTACCTTGAGCGCCAACGGTAGAGGAGGAAAAAGATATGCCAGAGCCCATACTATGGAAAATGCATCCTGGGCTATTGCTTCGTGACAGCTGTGCCTGGACACAAATTTGGGCAGCTTGGCATTCTGCCGTGTCGCCATCAGATCGGCTAGGGGTGTGCCCCAATGTATAAATCCCCCATGCTGCCTGCTGATAGGGCGCTAGGGATGCCCGGAGCGTGAAATAATCTACTGCGCATGCGCGCCACTAGCGTCCCGCCGTCCCCATAGTAACATGTCCCAATAAAAAGACTTGGGTTACTCTGAACTTCATCTCATTAACATAAAATGCCTAATTAGGTTAAGCATTTCCTTCTCGCCGCCCTTGCATTCCAGAGCAAAATTCATTTCAGAGAAAACTTTAGAGCAAGCAGCATGAAAGCAGCATTTTTTTTTTTAAAGTTATGCTGTGAATGAGAACATGTAACCAATATAAAGTGAGTGTTATCCCAATTTGGTGCAAATGCATGTTAAGTTTTTTTTTAAACTCCTATCTGCTTTCTTTATTATTTATATAAAACCTTTATGTTAATATAATTTCATATAATTAAAGGTGCACCCATGACATGGGATTTATAAAGAGATCAGAAGCAGTTTTCTTTCAGACTCTCTGACTGAGAGCTTGCGTTTGTGTAGGCAGACAGGGAGGAAGATGAACCAATGCCCATAATCCATTCAGATGTGTGTGTGCGAGAGAATTTCAGCTTCAGCTGTTTAGCTCTGTAGACAACAATTTATTTTTCCACTGAGCAACTAACAATAGAGGGCTGAACAGGTGAAAGGCTGCCAAGAGCTTCACCTCTTTGCTTTAAATAAAGACGAAGTATTGCATATGAAAACTGGCCATATAAAATCATTACAAACATTTTGGCTGGTTAAACAGTTGACGTATGGTATGTTTCTCTGGACCTCTGCAGTGTAAATAAGGATGACCTGTCTCTCCCGACTGGTCATTTTGAGTAGTACATTTGTCAATTGTGTTGCACCATTTGAGACTGTTAATGTGCCACAGTTTGCAAATATGGACACCGGCACTCCAAAATGCAAGTCAAATGTGTCTATTTATTGACGTAAATGCAGCAAATCACAATTGCGCATTTACATCAATAAATAGACGCATTTTAATTGCATTCTGAAGTGCCGGTGTTCATACTTCTCTCTCTGCATAGAGACGGCGACTACCATTGCACCCACCTTATCTACATGGAAAAAGCGGTCAGGAGTGAGTTGGATTCATGGACTGTTAACAGTTTGCAAATATGTCGCAGACTTGCAACTTCTGTAGGTAGGATAACGCTGCTGTAGAATAGTGTTGCATTCTATGTGATGTGTTAAAGAGCCTTGTGTTCGTTTTGTCACAACATGTAGTAATGTGGCATAGTAGCCACAGATTTGCCATCTAGTCGTTGAAAAAAAAAAAAAAAAAGCAGCAGGAAAACATTAAGGACTTTGCACCAAATGCAGACCAGATCTGCATGGGTTTCTGCACACAGTGCAGTGTGTTATACCGTGTTTTTGATGCGTTCCAGGCCGTTTTTGGCACACAAAAAAAAAAACATTTTTAGTTTAAAATTGGCGTTCCAGGGCGTTTGCATGCCTTTTTGATGCGTTTGCATGTGTTCCAGAGCAGGTAAAATAGGGCTTGCTGCAGTTTTTTTTACATGCTCTGGAACTGAACGCTGCGGTGTGAACTAGAGCCCAAAATACCATTGGAATACATTGGACGCAGATTTGATCTGGTCTGTAACTGCTCTGCTCCTGGAACGCGCTTTGGTGTGAACAAGCCCTAAAGGCCTTATTCACACAGATGTACACAGCCATACAACATGCATGTCAGTCAGACAGTCTGCATCCAGGGGCATGCATCCATACCTGTATGAATGTGCGAGTTTGAGTCGGAATGTAGCAGCATCCTGTCACTGATTTGTACAGCTGGTTGCACAGACCAGATTTCACTCCAGGGCGCAGGTTTTTGCATGGACACGTACGCTGTACGGCTATGTATGACCACATGAATGAGGCCTCAGCGGTCATTTTTGGATAATTACGCATGTTTAAAGAGTGGTCCACATCACTTAACTATATGACAGATTGCTATGTTGATTCTGCCTTGACCTAGCTCATAAGCCCCCTTTCACACCTGAGAGATTTGCGCATTTCCCAAAGTGTAATAATGCAAAACATGAATTCCATTATTTTCAATGGAACTTTTTCACACCTGAGCGTCGTATCTCTGCTTGCTCAAAAAAATACATGAGCTTTTTTGACGCTGAATCTCACGTTTTTGGCCCCATAGACTTCTACAGGATCATCTGAAAAAGTACTAAATGTACATTGTATCAATTTTATGCCTTACAACCAGCTCCTACTCCTAGTAACTAGCTTTCGATTGGCTAAAGCAAAACTGTTTAGGTCTAAAAACAGCTGAAAACGAACAAAAAAAGCCCCACTTTTGCCTCAAAATCTTGTAAAACTGCTCGCGCTCAAGTGTGAATGACGGCTATTTGAGACAAGAGTGCAAAATTGGGCAGATTGGTTGCAGACATTAGCAACGGTAAGTGGTGAGGCACTCCCAAATGTTTAGTTGTAAAATATAGAATATGCACTGCAACAGATTTGATCACTTTGCAGGGTACAACATTTGGAGTGCAACTGTGTTAATTGCCCCCTCACCTTCCTGCACTGCGTAAGGAAGGTTGATGAATCTGGAAAGAAATAGCAAATCTTAAAGCCTTGTTAGTCTTGCTTCAGCAGTAGTGTTTTTTATTTGGTTGCCACTAGTAACTCCCACTTATAATTATTATTATTATTTATAATATTATTTTCATTATTATTATTATTATTATTATTTTTTTTATAGGACCAAGGAGGATCTTTAGACTTAGTCTACATGATAGGGGTCAGCCTCGGTGCACACATTTCTGGATTCGTTGGGAAAATGTACAATGGCTCCATCAACCGTATTACTGGTAATCATGATTTATTTGTCCTGATGCTCTCTTTTTCGTGAAGTGATGAATATAAAATGAATCTGATTATATCAGAGGTGGATAAATTATTGTAGAATCTTAAAGCCTATTAGTAAAGTAGTTGTATCACTGGGGTTACACATTGCTAATTATGCAGGTTACATTATGAAAACTTCTGATGTGTTGATTGGGACACAATTGAAGACATAAAAACAATTAATACAGAATAAATAATTTTTCCTTCATAGCGGTTACAGATACGGGTAGCTGGACATTAGCCGCAGAGAACCAATGCTGCCTGTCCAGCCTCCAGTCCCGAAGTCAATGGTCACATTCGGCAAAACATATCCCTGAACTTTCTGAACAACTAGTGAGACTTCCTTTTATACACAGTTCAACAGAACCTGTTATTTTGCTGTTGTTTGTGCATAGTATAATCTGTTATTATAATGTGTTAGGAATTTGTCCATGTATAATTTTTTCCAGTTTAGTGAACATTGGTACCAGTGTCTTACAATTACTACTAGAGAAACAAAGCCATTGTTTTCATTTAAAGTAGTATTAAGGTCTGGGCGTTTTTTAACTTCATGCATTCCCTGCATTACGTTAAAAACAGCCCATCACCTTTTTTTCTCCCCCAGTCCCCCCACACTTACCTGTCAGCTACGCTCGTCCAACGGCTACCGCCGGTTCCAAAGCGATCCTCTGTTCCCCGAACTTCCTGGTTGCGGGGGAGGATACTGATGGCAGAGGAGCCATAGGCTCCTTTCTGCCATCAACCAAAGAAAGAAGGGGAGTGGCCTGCCACAGGACTGTGTGTGTCTATCGACGCACACAGCCACTGCGGGCAGGAGCGCGCACGGATGCCTCCATTAGAACGCTGGTGGCACCCATACAGGGGGCGGGGGGAAGATTGCTGCGGGGACCCACTAGAAAACGAGGAATTAAAAACTTTTAGAGAAAAATGGCAACAGCCTCAAGCAAAGGTGGGTCTCATTGTAGGAACTATTTAAAAAACTAAAGGAAGCTTTAATACATTTGATAAATATTGCAGCAATCTGGATTTACATGGATTAAAGTATTTTGTCTTCCATCATTTTCTAGGCCTGGATCCAGCCGGTCCATTATTCAATGGGAAGCCCCCTGAGGACAGATTACACCATAATGATGCACATTTTGTGGATGTTATTCACTCAGATATTGATGGTATGTGTTTTAACCTGTTTATAAGGACCGAAGATTGGGCAAGTTTAAGTCTAGGTTCACACCTAGGCGATTTATCTCAAAAAACATAGATTCGCATTGAAGTCAATGAAGGCTGTTCACACCTTTTGCGGTTTGTCACACGGACTAAATCGCCTGTCGCACAAAAAGGTACAGGAGCTTTTTTCGGGTGGTTGTCGTGCAGTTTGGGTCCCATAGACTTCTCTATGCATTTAAAAACGTGCGAACTCTGTGCGGTTTTTAAAGAACAGTCGTGCAAACGAAAACGCGCAACAACCGCTCGCCAGCTCAGTCGTCTAGGTGTGAACCTAGCCTTAAGAATCAGTCCACCCAAAACTGCTACAGTATTTCAGATTTTGGTAAATGCTAAGTGTAAGCACAATTTCCTACTCCTCTTGGGAACTCTGCTATTGACATATCTGTGTTTGAGGGTATTCCACTCTCCATGTGAGTTTTACTTATTATTTTATATTATGGAGTATACAACAGAAGTAGCTGAGGCATGGGAAGGTGGGTGAAAACATCTAGATCTGGTGTGAATAGGGATGGGTAGTACTGTATCAGTTACTATCTCAGTTTTGTAGTATCCAAACAACATAAGGTGCTAGAGGCTTTCTCAGCCTACCCGGCCCAATCTAGAACTAAAATCTTTTGGGTGAACCTTTAAATGGGTTTTAAACTCTGACAAATGAAACCTGAGATGGAATTATATTAGGAATTAGTATTTTCAGACTTTTTAAATGGTGCCGAAATCTCTGTTTATAAATTAACTTGCAATTCTGCATCTCTTAAAGAATAAAAATGGATTTCTGTTTTTGCTCTGTTCCAATCTGCTCAGTGAAATATATTACAAATAAGATGGACAATTTATGTCTCGATTTAGTTAGAGAGAAGGGAGACAATGCAGCCTTCCTGAATGATCTTTGAAAAGTTAGTTTGCATCTTTGGACAGTTTCTGAAGCTTCAGACTCCATAATTGAAAAATTAGTTATGGCTTTGCAGGCAGTATATCAGGATTTTATTTTCTGTTCTCCAGCACGATTATCTGAAGGCAAAGATATATTAGCCTTGATTTCCTAAAGGAAAGATAAGAGAGAAAAGTCTTTTAACAATTTCAGAGAATGGAAATCGACGAGACAGCTGTAATTTAATTTATTGATGATGTTCACATAAAATGTTTTATGCTATGCAGAGCCATATCTGCTCTTGCCTTGCTCCTCCGTAGCCTTGATCTTCCAGTTTAAATATTTTATAGCTTATACTCTTATTTATAAGTGGCTTTTATCCTTCTTTTAAATTTCTGTAAATGTTTAAAACAATAGAAAGAATCATGTCTAAGGGGCAGGAAAAGAGCCACAAATGTATTTTCCAAATCCAAAGGGTGAGACAAGAATATAACTAGACCTTGTAGTATACTTGACCTTGTTGACTTGTATAAGTCAACATTATGATCTAAAGACAGGCTACATGTAATGAAGTATCAAGAAAAATCTTGATACTTTATATTAGGGATGCACCGATACCAAGTACCGTACTTGGTACAAGTACAGATACTTTTCCAGCTCCAAGACTAGACTAGAGACAAATCCAAAAGTTAGGAGGCAGCTGTCATTTGTAAGGAGCACACGGAGCTCCTGGGATTTTTACATCCCTGTTTTAATGTATGATTTAGTTTTTATAAATATAAATGAATGGATGCACCGATACCATTTTTGCAAGTACAAGTACAGATACTTGCCCAAGTACTTACAAGTCCTGATACATTTTTGTTTATTCATGTGACAGTTTTTCTAAAACAATACAGACTAATGATTTCAGGAGAGTGGTGGAGCGCCAGAGCCAGGTCCCAGCTGCACTTGCTGCAACCCTGGTAGTTCTCATGAAAATGCCAAGTATCGGCAATGGTATCTCAAAAGTATCGGTGCATCCCTACTTTATATGTAGAATTGGTTGGGCAGAACTGAAATATGACAACTGCAGCTATTTGTGCAGTCTTACTATTGTTGTGCCATATACCGTGTTTCTCTGAAAATAATATATTTTCTTATATTTTTTTTGGCTCAAAAAAACAAACTAGGTCTTATTTTCGTGGTAGGTCTTATTTTTTTATTTTTTTATGCACAACAATCCACACTTATTCATGTACAACAGTCTACATGTATTCATTTACAAAAATATGGTGATCAGGGCAATCAGGGGTGCCGTACCTTTCCAAGAGCAATTTGCTAACCAATCGCTGGCCAGAATGAGCGAAGCGCACTTTCACTATCGATTCCTCCCAGGTGGAGTACGTATGGTATCACTCTGCCTGTGACTGGAGCCGGCGCTATAGAGGAGGCATCGGCTTATGTGGCTCTGCTCCCTACAATCCCGCCTCGCTTCCTCTAGCGCTTCCTTCGTTGGCACCGCTGTTTCTCTGCTGCCTCTCCCGCGGCTCTTCAAGTTCCCCCTTATGCCACCACCGGCCCTGCGAATGGTCACAACTAGGTCTTATTTTCGGGGTAGGTCTTATATTTTAGCAATTCCCAAAAATAGTACTAGGTCTTATTTTCGGGGTAGGTCTTATTTTCGGGGAAACAGGGTAGTTGCCACTATTGTGACCATTTGAAGGTGTTTGTCGGCATAATAAGTGCTAGTATCCTGCAGGTTGAACCGAGTATTTGCAATTTAAAAACCAAACTCCAGCTTATTGCAAATGAAGACAATTTATTATAAAGACACAAGGCTCAATTCACAAAGCTATTTTCATGTAACTGTATTTTTTTTTAATTTTATTGCACTCAACTAAAAATAAATGTCACTTTTTGGAAATTAAGGATACTTGTTCTGGTGTGTTAGCTTTGTGAATTGAGCGTATGGACATTTGTGATATAAAGCAAACTGTAAATGGCAACCACCAATCTAGTAAAAACATGCGCAGTAGTAAAATTATATAACTAACTAACTAACTAACTGACTAACTAACTTGGGGGGTGTTATAAAGGTCAGGTACAGGACAGGGTCATTCAGGCTGATGTAGGTACAGTGTACATGTAGAATGCTGAGACAATGAGAATGAGGTGAGGAAGTGCTAAAAAGGCTCCCAGCAGCCAACTTCGGGTGGTAACACATTAAGCTCTGCTAGCCACTGGGAGATTCCCGATAGTGGACATCAAAATTGCAGCGTTCCAGTCCAGGAACTTCCATGCCACCAGCAGGTACTCTGGCTGCATGTTCCTAACAATGCTATGTTTTGAATTACTATTGGAAGATCATATTATGTTACAGATTCCGAAAGAATTATAACTCTGCTGAAAGGAGTCTTCTGTGTTGACCATTTCGGACACATATTTGTTTAATTACAATATTTTACAAAATTGGTATAGTCTCTGATTGCCTTTAAAGAGGCTGCACCTTTACAGCATAGGGTCTTACGTTTAAATTGAGCAAAGATAACTATGTTTTTTGTTGTTGTATGGAGTGTGTTCTACATTTTTGCTGAGATTCACTAGAGGAGGGACTGTTGTGAATGGTCTACACTGTAAAGAGTTGCAGAATTTGTGTATGCAATATAATGATACTTAATAGTGTGTGTGTGTGTACGCGCGTGCATATCAACCATATACATTTACTAATTCTTAGACTGAATAAGGCCATGACGTTTTTGCTCATGATCATGTGGTCTGCTGAAACCGATCATCACATGTATGTTTTACATAATAGTTTAACCATATATGTGAATTTTTTTATTAAGGTCTTGGCTACAAGGATAGCTTAGGAAATATTGATTTCTACCCAAATGGAGGAACAGACCAACCAGGATGTCCAAAATCTATATTATCAGGTAATTCAATCTACTATACATATTTATTTATTTTTGCTGGACACACTGATGTGAATAGATAAAAAAACATATTTAATCTACAGTTTAAGCAGAGACATGGAACCACTCTATACGAAAAAGACTAAATGGACACATTTTTAAATTTTATAAGCAAGAATCCCACATTTGTGGTCACAGGGAGAGAAGATCTGGTCCTGCCCACCTTAAGTTTTGGAGGTGTTTTGTTCCTGGGGACCTTAGAGTTTTAGGGGTCCTGTCATAGTGCATTCACCATACTGTAAGATATAATACATTTTAAAAATCCTCATAATTAGACACACATTCTATAATGAAACAGTTGGGGGTTTCCAGTGCTTCTTAATCTAGTAAACAGGCGGGCCTCAGAGGGCTCTATATAAAGTATTTTCTATTATTATCAGAAATTGGGTTTCAATTAAATGAGGAAAAATTGGCATGTATGTTTTGATTACTTGCTTGTCATTTTTTCTTTCCTGCAGGCTCTGAATATTTCAAGTGTGATCACCAGCGCTCAGTTTTCCTGTATATTGCATCATTAAATGAGACTTGCAGTGTTGTTACATTTCCTTGTGAAACATACAAGGACTACCGTACTGGGAAATGTGTGAATTGCATGGAATACGGACACCTTGGCTGTCCAGTATTAGGTAAAGTAGGACTTTTTTTGTACACTCCCAACTAATATGTTGTGTTTACTATAAGGGTTTTTATACGTGTTGCAATCTGACTGTACTTTCAAGCTGAGATTTCGAAATCTATTTAATTTGAGGACCTACAAAACTCTCCAATCAATCTGTATTGAATCAGACAGGCCCTTGCACCACCATGTTTCTCCTTGTAATGGATCAGAGCAGAGAGGCAGCTCCCTCCCGCCCCCCTGCCAGAATTGGTAGATCTAAAGGAGATTGTACAATAAGATTGTACTATGTTTGGTAAGCTTAAAGTACAATTAAACTCTTGTTGTTCTGCATATATCTACTGCTAGTAAGCAGTAGATGTATGCAAAAACATAAAAAAGTTACCAAAAAGGTAATTGCTTAGCTCTGTCTCCGCCGCTCGCTCCTGTCTGAAGATTTAAAGCTTCTCAAGCGGACGTGCAGGATGATAGGGCAGGCACATGTTCAGTACAGATCTTCGGCGGGTAGAAGAGGAGAGACACAGTGGAGGTAATTGCACGCAGCCGGGAGCGTGCACGTCAGACGGAAACCATGGGACAGGAAGAGATCTCAGTCTGCGCTGGATCAGAGACTGGCACCAGCGCTGGAGAGAATGCTGAAAACAAGTGGAAGGAAGAACATGATCAGATCAAGAGGCATCATTTAAGGTAAGTCCTTAAAGCAGCATGGGGGCGGGGGAGGAAAACATTTGTGACTTAATGTCAGCTTAAGGTCTTTTTCAGACCCTGGATTTTTAATGTATCAAGTGCATTTAAATTCTGCCAGTGCTCAGGAATGTAGCAACATGGGTGCTTTTTTCATCGCAATTAGCGGGAGGCTTCCTTTTAAAAATGCTTGTCACTGCACCAAAACCACACTATGAAGAATCCTTTAACCCTACTGTAACAAGCAATATTTCCTGAGACATAGATGGCTAAAGAACATTTTTAATGGTGCATAAAGTGGTAGTAAACTGCTGTGTGACGTGTGGATTTTTGTCTACAGCAGTAAACTTGCACATTAGGCCACACTTACCTTACAAGTGTGCTCTTCTACATTGCTGTTGGGTTGATCTTTGGTCCCCTGCTCTATCCCTCACTGTGGCCATCTCCACCGCTGACACTCCTGGGTTTTCAGGCATCTTCTTAGGCTGTTGGGTGTCCATTGATGATGTAACTCCTGCACATGCAACAGGAGTTGCACTCTCCCCGGCATTAGGCCCATGTATGGCATCAGTGTACACAGAAAATAACAAATTACTGGGGGAGAAAGGAAGAATTTTTTGACAGAAGATACTTTGCATGTCTCTTTTGCCAAAAATCCCTACCACCCAGCAATTGTTTATTTTTCTGACTTTACTTCAGTTTTAAAATGTATTCCCACTTTTACAGTCTATTTTAAGAAACCCCCTCTATATGTTTATGTTCCCATTCACACAACATATCTGAAAACATTTTATTTTTAAATATTTCCAGAGCAAAACTCAGTGCATAGAACAACTTTGCTTTCAGAATATAGAATGTATTTTGCAAGCAGTCCTTTAAATAATGTTTTAATTTATGCCATGTGAATGAGAAACATGTAACAAATATAAAATAAGTGTTATCCCAATTTGGTCAGACACACTACAAAAGGCAGCTTGCATCAACATCTGCAGAAATAGTACAATGTCACAGGTGATTTCAAGTCATCCTAAGCAGTGAAGTGTTGGATAGTACTTAATACAAGGGACAGCATTGAATGTTGACAGACAACATGTTGCCATCAGAAACACTGCGGAGGAAAGAGAGCTAGATAAATACAACCACATGGTCTCTGATGGAGGTCTCCCTTTAGTTCTATCTATAACAATGGTAAACAGATCCTCCTAAAGGTTCAGGCAATTAGAGAAGGTACTATTCTGGGTTTGTGGAAATTGAGGTGTGTATATATAAGTGCCGATGTGTCCAAAAGGAGAACCCAGAGGCTCCATAATGCATTACATTGGTTTACTGTGTCATGAAGATAGATCATCAGTGTTTCCATACTCATCAGTGGGCATTCTTTAGTGACCTAGTCCTTAGAGTGGAGAGTGGAGGACCTGCAGTGCTGAGGAATTATGGTACACATAATGCCAATTAAGAAATAGAGCAGGCTCTTGAAAATCATGGTGTAGGGTCCAAGGGGATGTATGGTGTACGGTCCATTACAGGTTTTTACGCTGACAAGTGGAGAGCTACTTTAGGGGTATTGGGTGTAGTTGTCCCTACGACTAACGGCATACATCAAAGATATTTTTCCCTAAAGTGAACCTATGGCTTTGCCCTGCATTGACAACCATCTCCATCACACAGCTGTCCAAACCCCTCTATCTATTATTTGGCCATGGCCATTTCATCTGGCCCTCAGAAGACATACTTGATCGCAAAAAGGACCTTAGTTTGGAGACCGCTGTTGAGGGACAGCCTCAGATGTTTATATAGACAACTTATCTAAGCTCTGCAACAGGATCGAGTGCTAAGATCAATGATTGTCTGTCTGAGTTACCATTTGCTGCATTCACTGGATGTCTCCATTACAGCAAAACGTATGAAACCTCTACATTGCTGCAACCACCTGCACCCACCCAATACAGTGTAACCGTGCCATTTAAGATATATAACACAGTAAATATAATTTCATGCTAGATTGCTTTTCATTTTTTGTGTGCAGGGGATGGCTAAAATTCATTGTCATTTTGCACCCCACTCCAGGACCCTCCTAATTACTTTATATAATTGCCGGGCCTAAAATGTGCTGATTATAAATTATGAGCCGGTGTGGAGGTTGGGCACTAATGACACCGCGTGTGCATTACAGGTTTTTACGCTGACAAGTGGAGAGATTATCTGGTGACGAAGAATCCTCCAGTGACGAAGGCTTATTTTGATACGGCGTCGGTGAAACCGTTTTGCAGTGAGTGAAATTGAATTTGCATAAAATAAAAAGCTGTCAGAGGGAGATAATAGTAGCTTGGGGAAGTTGGCGACATTTGCTTGGAACGCTAATTGCTTCAGACGGAATAATGTGAACTGTGAATTATAAGGATGAGGAGAGGACTGTACGGTGTAGGGGGGTTTGTCTTCTTTTGGCCTACTTCTTTGTTGTAGCCGAATTAGGGCCGATCCACCCAGGCTTCTTTTCACACTGGGACCTATTTAAATATTGTTGTGTGGTCGCAGCCCGCAGCTGCTTTGTTCTCTCGGCTGCGCAGTGATCTTTAATCTTTTCTGTGCTGCAGGGGCGTACAAAACAAAATTATCCCCGCCACTCGAGGGATTGACTAAGCCCTCATCTCTCTAACAACAAAGAGAACAAGTGCACAACTTGACCTTGATTTTGTGGAAAGGCAGTAAATATGCGGTAAACATACAAATATAATTACAGCAAAGAAGACGGATTCCTGGTGAAGAAATTAAACCGAAAAGTACAGGGATTTATCAGCCTGTGCATAGATAATGAAACCAATATTTTCCAGCCATGCCAGTCAGTCACCTGAAATGATCTGAGATGAAAGCAGATTATTAAGCAAGGACAAAAAAAAGAAGTCTTATATATTGCATTGCAGTGTTAACCTCTTTATGATCAGGGCTTTTTAAGGCTGTGTGGCCAAAGACGGGTGCACAGCAGACTATTGCAATAAAAATGCAATAGCTAAATGCAAAGTGGAAAATAAATACCGCGTGGAGGGGTAGAGTTCACATTTATGTAATTCTGTTCAGCCAGTCTTGTGGGACACAACTCTGATGCCAACATTCGGATTCCTGTATTTCCTGTTTTAGGTTTTCAGCTTCCTTATCACCTGCCTCCTTACTGGGAAATGAATCGGTCTCATTCCACCTAAAAACTTAAATTGTATCTAAACCCAAAAGCAAAAATATTATATATATGGTGGCTGCATTAGTTTTCTATTTTAGGCTTTTATTTCTTTATTTTTTCCTGGTGAACCAGCCAATAACTCTGTTATTTTTCAACTTCCTTTAACAGGCTAAGCTGTCCAGCAAAAGTGACAGATAGAGAATTCAGACAAACCATTTAACACTGGCAGGGGTGCTTACAAGTGTCAGCTTTTTAATCATTTATATAAAACCTAGGGATGCACCTATACCGTATTTTCGGTATCAAGTACGAGTACCGATATTTTTTTTTCCGATACCGGGTGTGCAATTAAGGAAGCCAGACGGTGTGTAAAGACTTCGCCAACTGGCTTCCTGATTAGCCGAGGTGCCGGGCGGCATGTAAAGACTCGCCACCCGGCTTCCTGATTTAGCAGGGAAGCCGTCTCCATGCTTCTCGTCACTAGGTGACGAGAAAGTATGCAGTTGGCTTTCTGGCCAGTCAGGAAGCCGGGCACCGTGTAATGATGCGGCGCCTGGATTCCTGATTGACCAGGAAGCCAGCTCCATGCTTCCTCGTCCATGCTTAAAACCTTTATCTCAAAATGAAAACAAAAAACTGTGGCTAGAACTGCTTAAAAATCATTATCTGGAGTTCGGTTGTATTTGTTGGTCAAGTCAGTCTAAATCTGCTGGTGAATCTAACACTACCCTCCCCACGGGTAACAATGCTGCTGTCCAAGGGCGGCTCTGTTGCTCCTCCATAGATTCCAGTCATTCAAAGACGGGAAGCATGTTACTGGCCGGATCACCACGTGAAAATAAAGTAGAAAAAAGCCTAAAAAAAGGAAAACTAATGAAACTACCAGAAAGATCGGTAAACTGCAATATATTGTTTTTATATTTTTGGGTTTAGATACACTTTATACTATGTTTTTCATGGATACAGTTTCATTATTTTATTATTGAATGATAAGCTGGAAATATGCATAGGCACCTTTAATGTATCTAAAGCCATTGTTTTTGGATACAGTGGTGGTTAGAGCACCTGTCAGGTTTTATTGCTGTGTCCCCACTGGGTAAAGATAAAGACACCGGCACTCCACATTCATAAGCAAACGTCTATTTATTGACGTGCAGCATAGTAAATAGCAACAAACGCTTCGGGGTCACAGAGGATCCCCTTCCTCAGGCAAAAGGAAGGGGATCCTCTGTGATCCCGCAGCACCCGCTTTTCAAAGGGATTTGGCGGTCAGGAGTGTGATGGGACCATGGACCCACTGGGTAAATTCACACTGACTATTTTGTCCTGGTAACCATTATAACCAGGACTGAAATTAAGAGAAAATCCAAGCCCAGTTGTCACTGGAATACAAAAAGAGGTGAACTCTGGGAGAGATCTCTTCTAAAGCTGGCCATACACTGATTTTTTTTCATCCAGCCTGCTAAACAGCGTGGATAGACCAATCTGCTGCTGCAACTATTGTATCCTGAGAGCAGCGGGTGTGTCAATGGCTGAAGTCACTATTTGGATGAGATTTGTCCACCCGGCTTCAATTTTCTGTTTGCAGGATGTTGAGAGGGAGGGTGTTCACAAGGCCACCCACTGAACGAGTCCTTGATGAACCGGCCATAATTTGCTCAGTGTGGCCAGCTTTACTTCCTTCTCAAGAAGGAAGAAACATTTCCCCAGTGCACCAAAAACCTGACACGGTTGCCAATCATTCTATTCCATGCAAAACTACAAAACGTTTTGACTTTAGATACTTGGCATCAAGATTTCACAACATGACTGGCAGGGCAGTGTGCATGTCATAATTTCAGCTGCTTCTTAGGTCAATGGGTGGCCCTCTATGCCAACTCCCACCTAACATTCTTCGATTTGAGAATCAAAAGAGCTGGGTAGAAAATTGTTGGCCGAACAACGTCTGTATCTAATCAGCCCGAAAGCTGAATGAAAAAAATCTAATGTATATCCAGCTTTACCTATTGTTTGCAATTAACATTTTTGGTGTCTTCCTCTTTCAGTATTTCATTATTTCTTGGATTTTATTACAACAAACACGAATACAAGGATGGGTTATATTACCATTAAAGTTGAAACTACATATGGAAACATTCTACAATCAAAGTTGGACCAGTAAGTCTCTCAGTTCATTGTGTATACTACTTTGTTACTTCCTATGTATTTTACATTAGAGCGGCTATTGAACATAAATTACCTATTTTTAATAAGCTGGCTTACCGTATATACTCGAGTATAAGCCGTCCCGAGTATAAGCCAACTACATTTTTGTTAATGGTTAGGGTACTTGAATGCATTTTTAAGATTTAGCTCCTGAGATTAGTGTGTTAATTGTAATGGAGAAGGGGGTGGTCTCCACCTAGCTGTGCTGCATGGCAGAGCTGAGTAAATCTCAGGACTGATTGGATAGACATGCAAGTCCTTTACACATTTGTGTACCTAAAAGAGAACTATGACCTAACCTTTTTGGCCATAGTTCTCTTCAGGATCACATACTAATGCCCTCTGGTGACCCAAAACTCAGTATATAGCGGGCTATTGCCCGTTATATGCTGAGAGCACAGAGCCGCGCTGCAAGATTTCCCGACAATGCTGTCGAGATCCACCCGCTGGCTGATTGACAACTCTCTAGAGGCAGAGCCAGCTGTGCCCGTCCCCTCCACGTTCTTTCGTCCAGTTAGCGCTGGAGGAACGAAGATTGGAGGGGGGGATTCCTAAGGGTTGCTGTGACTGATGGTCACCACTCTCTGCAGGGAGAGGATCGGGTACTAGGCAGCGGTATGTGTCAGCTGACGTCCCGATCAATAGAGTCGACCTGTGACCGCTTCAGTGTATTTCACTCACCCCATAATTCTCCTTTTAAATTTTTGCTCAGAGTTCAGTTTTAAAACAAAACTGGCATAGTGTTTGTGGGGGATTGGGATGGGTGATAATTTCCTACTGTTATCTTTATATTCCATGGAAAAAAGAAACGTAATTTCAATTTCTCTATATAGTCTTGAACAGCATTAACATCTCTTTTGGAAATGATCTGACACTGCATGTTTTAAACTTAAAGTTACTTAGATTAAAATAAAATCTATTAAAATCTATTATAGTTTCTCTTTCAAAATTTTTACTATTCATTGAAAGCCTTTGTTTTACAAACATTTCATACAGGGTGCATCCATGCAACCAGATTCACACTTCACCTTTTAAGCAGGCAGATAGAAAAAAACGCCATCAACCACAGTGTTGCTTTTATTAAAAAATCATGAAATTGAAATGCAACTAATTAAAAGGCCAATCAGGTGTCCTGTTTGCACATGTGCTGACAAGGAACATGGAGAAGAGCAGAGAGGTAAACTCATCAGGGTGTTGCTGCTCCTTTAGGCCCCATTCACACCTAGGCGTATTGTAATATGCGCGTCTGTCACACGTTTTTTTAACTGCGATTCGCGGTAAAAAGTCACGCGACTCAAAAGGCTACTTGGCTGTATCCCAATGGAAAACGCCCTACAAAACGGCCCAAAGTAGTCCCGGGACCTTTTCAGGCGTGGGCCGTTTTGTAGGGCGTTAGGGACGGGTGGAAATACGCCTAGGTGGGAACGAGGGCATTGACTACAATGCTATTTATTTTTTTGACCGTTTTGTAGCGCGTTCGTCAAGCGTAGGACGCGCTACAAAACGGTCAGGTGTGAACGGGGCCTTACTGTCCAAGCACAGGTTGAGGGCAGCGAGCTTACTTAATGTAGTTGTTTGCCTGGGGTTCAGCTTTAAGAACAAAACCATATAAGTCTTCAATTTCATTCTGCATGCAATGTGGACATACATACTGACAGGGAAGTATCTGTGACAGTGGGGTTGAATAGGATCATCCCCACTGCCTTGGAAAATACAGATTATGACTTGGAAAAGTGCAGCTTCCATCTTACGATTACATTTTGTGATGTTATATTTAATATGTGTGCCTAATGTCTACATATATTGCTGTGTTCCAGGGATGCTGCCGTGTTTGAAAAAAATCAGGAAATTACCCTCCTAGCCAAGTTTGATCAAGATTTTGAGCAGATTTCAAGAATCTTCATCACATTCACCACTGGATCTGTAATTGGACCAAAACACAAGCTGCGAGTTCTAAGAATGAAGCTCCAGTCCACAGCAGATCCTAACAGGTGAAGCCTTTGTACAACAATATTAAAATACATACAATATAATAAAATAAATACATTTATTAGACCGTGACGTGCTGAATATGCTACAGATGGGACTAATGTTCATTTTTACTTCTTGAATTTACTGTGTGTCATTGTATACAACAACAGTATCATTTTTCAAACAAGCTGAACCTTCTTTTTATTTTTTTTAAACCAAACCTTAAAAGTGTGTTTCCACTTTTGCAGCCATATTGTGATAACCCCTATTTTATATTTGTTATGGATAACTATTCACGTTGCATAGGGGGTGGTGGGAAGTTCCACTTACTCTAATTGACCCTGTCTGTACTGTGCTGGCAGATTTCATATATCATTTATAAACTAGATTTGAACACTGTTTGTCCTAACAAAGGGTTAAAGAATTTAAAGCATTGTATATTGATCAGAGGAAGCTCCGCCTGTCCCTCAGTTTGTCCCTCTACTTTTACTTTTAAACTGCTCAGAGTAGCAGAAAATCTGCACAAAGGCCTTCATGAAAGAAACATCTAAAAGGTAAGAAATATAAAAAATATATACTTTTAGGCATGCTGGGAACACATAAAGATATAGAGGGGTTTTCTCAAATTTGACTGCAAAAGTTGAACTACACTTTAAAAAAAGCAAACCTGTGTTTTGCTCATTAAAGGTGAAGCAGGAAGTCTTCTTGGCACTAGGTGAGATAAACAAAAACAAAAAAATAAGAGTTTTAATGCTAAAGTGTCACTAAACCTTCCAGGGAATAAGTCAGTAAAATGCCCTACACATCTCTATGCACTCAATGTTCAAATTGCTTTTTTCCCTTCACTACCTGTCTTTCGTTAGGAGCAGTTCCTGTATATTGTGGTCATGTGCGCTGCTCTATGTAAACTACAAATACTACAAACCATTACAAATACCATTGTAATTTACTTGTGTCCCCAGTTTTATTCAGCAGAAAGAGCCTGAAGCTGTCACTCAGAATCCCCTGGAGGGTGCTCTGTGGACATCAATTTTCTGAATGGGAGGTTTCCTGTGCCATCACCATTACGTGCCGCTGCTGGGTACATCGGTTTGCTATACTGTAGTCTCTCTCGTACGAGAGCAGAGGAGGATGGCTACATTCCCACTTACAGTTGGACCATGTAGACCAAACATAGCCGCCCTCATAATGGAATTTATAGGAGAGCAGAATATTAGTCTATATCATGGGATGTGCTCGCACATGCTGCAATTAGAAGGACAACAGATTTCATTTTGTTTCTGTTGAGTTTAGTGACATTTATTGACCTATGGTTAGGAATGGAAGTGTCCCAAAGTTCTTCAAACCTGTAATAAAATGTTTTTTTTTTTTCAGGACATCATTCTGCAGATACGACTTTGTCTTAGAAGAAAACGTTGAAACAGATTTTCTGCCAGTTCCTTGTGAAAACTCCAACTTTTTTTCCTCATGTTGCAGTGAAGATACATCGCAGTGTCCAGCAAAGAAATCCCGGTGATCTTTTAAGCTGTTAAATATCTTCACATGAAATTCAACAAGCAAAGCTGAAAAAATTTGCAGATACCTGCAGCAAACCATCACATTTTTTTGTTGCTTCAGTCATGTCCTGAAAGATGAATTTTGATTGGTTGCTGTGGGCTAATGCACTTTGCACTGTGACCTACTGGATGAGCTTGTTTTACTGTGAACAGCACTTCTGTTGAAGGTTGGAAGACTTAAGTTCCTCCTCCAGACTAACCAGGTGGACTGATATAAACATCTTGCCACCAAAGGATCTACTCCACATCCTTCAGAATCATGTGATTTTTGCCCTACCTGGTTTGATCATGGCATTAATGTGAATAATATTTTAAACATAGATTGTAGATTCCGTGACAGCTTCTGTCATCATCACCCTTTAATACCTACATTTGAGAACTTACCTCATGCTCCCCCGCCCCCCAGTATATGGATCCTGGATATATTTCATATACAAGGCGGATCTGTTCTCTGTGCATTAACTCTAGCTATTAATCCAATGAAGACTAACAATCACATTTGTGTCAGCCATATTGTGTGGTGAGCCAGTAAACTATAAATCACTAATGTTGCTGGGCATTTCACTTGGATGGGAACATGTGGCTTCACTAAGGCCATTAATGGGTAATGTGAGGCATGGCCTATCGTCCAATAGGCACTGGGGTTCTGTGAGTAACTGGACTTCATTATTTATTTATATTAGAGTACAGAAGAATCAAAATGTCTGTCAGGTTTCCCTTTGACCTAGTTGAAGAGATTTTCCTTTACTTCCTGTCCCCATGACTCCCATACATAACATGGGGGTGAGACATTCTGATAGTAAATGAAGTCACAGACCACAAAAAAAACATTTTCAGAAGCTTTAACTCTCCCCCAATAAAATATGTTTGTCTGTGTCCCCATTGAAGATTTCCCATCCTGTCCTGACACAGGCTATAACCCACCTACGTCATATTTTTCGAAATGAGATAAAGTATATGTAACGTCAAAGAATGTTTTTCTTATTTTTGATAGAGTAGAGGAGGATTTCCGATGTGAGGGATATCTAATCTTATACTGCTATCATGGGGAAAAAGTGTCCCCATTGTATATGATATCCATTTATTCCTGTGCTGGTGGACCCTCATTTCATTCTTGGAGACTTTGGTCATCAGAACAAGTACAGAGGGTGGATCTCCCTAATGGATACATAGACCGCAATAAAAACCTGACAGGGGTTCAAAGCCCCCCCCCCCCCCCCCCTTCCTTTCCACCTCTACCAGGCTGCTGCTTGGATCCAGGGTCTGGTAAGGGATTATAGGGGGGAATGAAAACCCCCCCCCCCCCCATCTCTCTATCCAGCACTAAAAAATGCATTTTGTAATACTTTAAGGCCAAATCTATTGATATATAGCTTGTTAGGATGGCCTTTAAAATGCAGTTTTAGTCAAACAACTACATTTATAGCTGAAACTGCATATATATGTTTAATAAAGTCATATTTATATTTATTGTCCTCCAGTGAGATGCTCACAGCATGCAGTATGAAGTTTCAGTACATAAAGTAGCTGATACAACTCTGTAAGACTGAAAGGAAGGATGGAGTTCAGCTTTTGGCTGTTACCAGAACAGGAATGGCAAGTAAATCCTCTAGTGGGGAAACTTGTGACAACCATCTAGGGGGGAATCTTCCCTCACTTCGGAGAGAATTTCTCTCATCTAGGGCCCGTTCGCCCCAGATGCATTGGCTGGGCAGCCATGCCCAATGTAGTCCCATTACATAGACAAGGCAATTTGCCTTGTCTCCTATCAGGTCCATTCACCATGTTGTATTGGTGTGTGCTGAAAAAGAGTACCGTACTGCATCCAGTACGTTTATTCATTGCAGCATGTTGCCACACACTACACTGCACTGCAATGCTCTGGGGTGAATAGAACTCAATGAAATATCACCAATAAAAGCCCATTGCACCACTTCCCTTCAGCATACACCAGCAGCAGTGCGGTAATGCATGGTGCGGATGTAAACAGAACCTTACAGGAAAGGAAGAGATGGCAAAAAAAGGAAAACAAAAAAAACTAAACAAAAATATTAATTATACTTTAATAGATGACTGAAACTGATTTCAGGACAGTTAAAGAAAAAAACACAAAAGGAACTAAAAGATTCTTGAAATTTTTGCTTCCAGTTCTTCTATAAAGCAGTAAAACGACAGTGATGGTTCGAATGTATAATCACCATTACATGTACCTTTCATGAGATGGAACAGATGGAACATTATTCTATTTTTCCAGAAAGTCGGTGAAAAGTCCTGGCGAATGCTATTACACTAAGCTTTACGTATGTTACATGCATGTAGTCTGGTTATAGAAGTGAAAGGCTCGACCTCTAGTTACACATTCTCATTGTGTATATAGTATATCCTGCTTTGTACTCACCCGTTCCTTGGAGCTGGCTTGCACTTAGACCGGTCCCTGGAGCCTCTCTCACCCTCCGCTACAGCGGTCTAAGGTTCCCAAGTCATCACATGCTATACACAGTGTATCGGATGTGAGGATGCCGAGGGACACGATCGCGGCAGCAGAGGAGTAGACAGGCTGGAGGGCGCTCTGTCACAGCCGGCTGGCTCCGAGGGTCAGGCGAGTATAACTTAACCCAGACGAAAGACCCCAGACGAAAGACCCCAGACGAAAACAAGCACTTGACCCTTGCAGTGTGGGGGACGCCCCTTCTGCAAGGGTTATGAATAATTTTCCCCGAAGTTCTGCTTTGAGATAATATGTAATCAACATATTAGGGAAAAACCATTTAGGGTCAAAATGTGGTGGAGATTTTAGTTTTAGCCGATAATGACATCATTATACATTAGATGCTACTAGACCTTCTTCTTCTTTTTTTTATGTGAACTTTGCCTGAACTAGGTAAAGTAACATGTTTGCTTGATGGCATTCACCACTAACAGTTAACACTTACCTTTCCACTCTCATTTGCCACCCTGATCTGCGATTGCAGCCACAGAAAATGAATGTGTCTGGTATGTGCTTAGCACTATGTGCGCTCCTCCATCTGAAAGATGGGCTGAAAGATTGGCCTCATTCAGCACTGCGGGAAGCAGGGGGGAGATTTATATGTTCCGCCATACCTAGAAGTACTGGGTTTCCGATGACGTGTCGTTTTTGGCTCATTGGAGAAGGTAAGTATTAAAGTTTCACTAAAAAACATGCTCCAGGTAGACTTGATATTTAAACCACCACCACTTGTGGTTTTTCTGCAAATGAGCATTCCAATTTTTTTTTCCAATATTGGAATTGTTGGCTTACCCTGCAAACCTCTGAAGCTCTGGTGGTGAACTTCTGGCTCGAGATTTTAGCGGTGCACACGTATGCACATATAGGCCTCACAAAAAGCCGGCATGTACAGCTCCGGCTGTATCGGGCAGCTCTCGGGAAGGACAGGTGCTGCGTGTGATTAGTATGCATCCCCTGTCCTTCTCTATGGGAGTACACGGCTGTATGTTGCCCTAGGCTCACCCCCCCCTGCACGTCTGTGCGGGTGTCTGTAATTGTATGCTGGCAGAATGGATCCTATCTGCGTCCAAGCCAGGACACCCACACCCGTACGGACCTGCACTTGGGGTGAGCGTAGGGCAGCGTATGGCCGTTTAATCCCATAGAGAAGGACAGGGGCTGCGTGATAATCACACGCAGCACCTGTCCTTCCGGGGAGCTGCCTGATACGGCACGCAGCACGGAGCTGTACATGCCAGCATTTTCTCGTGTGAATGAGGCCATATTCACGGTCTCTGCTCACCTCATACTACATCTCATCATCCGCTGTCAGTCCGTTTGGCATTGGATGAGGCTTTGAAGGATTCCAATGCTTTCACAGCTGGAAGAGGTTATACGTGCCAGCGCTGGCTGCGTTGGCACATAGCACTGTAGTTTGCATTGGGAGTACTTGGGGGAGGGTGACTACATTACACATACAGTAAGGCCATGTAGGGCTAGCATAGCCACCCTTGAAATGGAAGAGAGAGGGCAAGGTTTTTCTACTTATTATTTATTGATATAGATGCAACTATTCATAATTAAACAGATTTATATGAATGTAGGAGAAGGAAAGGAAATGTATTTGTCTTTCTGATATGGGTTTAATTTAACTCCTAGTGGTGCCTGCTATTAAACCAACCTGTTCCATTCCCTAATTAGTGCCCAGCACAGAAACCTATTATTAAAAAGAATGTAGCTCTTTCATTGCTGACCTCCTTTCTTGGCCTGACACATTAACCTTCTCCCTTTTTATTCTTTGAGTCATTTCCTATTTCTGTGTTAGCAGATAAGGAGTTTTGACATTACTTGCTGCGTGCTTGTACCAGGTCAGTGATGCAAAAGAATATGGACACCGGCACTCCAATAGCAGGTACAATACGTCTATTTATTGACGTACATGCAAAAAGGTAGCATAGCACACTTAGTGCGACGTTTCGGGGTGATACAGGATCCCCTTCATCAGGCAGAACAAGTGGTAGGGGTTTCAGTAGCCTCTATCTTAATTTTGGTTGCCCCTGTCTGCCTGACATCTTGTGTCCAGGTTTCTGCTGCCATGAAACCCAGACACAGCATTCAAAACCCGAACTATCTGGGTGAATCCTGGACAGGAGGCAACCCTACTCTCTTTGCTGCAGAAAGGCTGGCTGAGAAAGGCTGTTCTAAACCTACAAATGGATTACCTTTGACCTGGAAAGAAAATAAATACTTATTTGCTATGATCTTCAGCTCCATCTAGTGGCCATAGTGCAGTATTTTCCTGATTCGCTCTTCTGAATGCATTCCATTCAACAAGGGCAGAAAGTATACTAACAAATTAATTCTCGCCACATTTGTACAGAACAATTCATCATGTAGTTTATCAGGACAACTGGCTGCAAATTCTTTTTCTAAATACACCCCTACATATGAATTGTCGGAATTCATATATAGATGTGTGACCTAAAGTTTTGTCAACTGCA